TAAACTGCCAAAAAATAAGATTTTATTTCAGATCCCATACATTTCTTTGTATCTTCGGGAAGCCATTTTGAAAGTAATCTTTGATTGACGTACGGTATTTGAGACGCAATATGACTCGCATTGCTGGTAATGGGAAGTTTTGAGAGGGATCACGCTTCAAGGAAACTGTAAAAAAAAAACAGATTAATAACAAGTCGATTTCAACCAAGAACAAGCATATGAAATAGAGAAATTTAGAATAATAAAACAACACAAACTCTCACACGGTCCCTTCTCTTTTAGCATAAGGTTAAAGATTAAAGAAGATACAAAGTGTTCTGATTTATTCAGTTAAAGCAGGGGAGTATTACTTTGAATATTTTTGGTGTTCTTAAGATGCCTCGCCGACGGGATTGAGATCGTCAGGGTCAGGCATTGTGAACGAAGCTTAAAGCCACGTTTAAAGAAAATATCCCAACTCAAAACTCTCTCGATGGACTGTAAACATGGGTAGGAAACTATCAAGGGGATATTCAGTATTTCGACTTCCCGTATTCTTGAGACCGAAGTGCAATTGTATTTATTTTCATTTTTCAATGACTTTTAAGCCTGGTTATGTGATAAGTAATAAAACTCTATAAATGAACAGGTCCTATTCAGGTTATATCGTAAGGCGATAAACTAGTTAATGGATTTCAAAGAGCATGTTTTGTTGGCATGTTTTGCTACCTACAAATGAAACCAGCTTTGTAGAATAAAATGACTTTCTCACAAAGTGTTTAGAGCATGACTGATTTTTCAGTTGTGTTTTTTCAATCTCCTCGTTTCCTTTACCGACTAACTTTGATGAATTTTAACTTCCCGAGGAAACTTCGTTTTAGTTCTCTAGCTCTGATCACAGAACTAATGCACGGTATGTCTTGGGTATCTGCAGTGTTGTATGCTTAAGGAAGTATGAAATGAGGAAGTTGTGCAAATGTTCTCTGTGTAATTAGTTATATATAGCTAGACTATTATTTTTAATAGTACTACCATATGTGTACATAAACCCGAGACGGAAATGATAAAAAACATAACAGAACAAAACAAAAAATATTTGAGAGAAACCGCATTGAGTGGCCAATTTTTCAGACTCTTTCGATTCACCTTGAGATTTTCGTTGATCTTGTAGAGATACTGTACCATGTTTTTCAAATTTCGATGCCGAGGCAATTCTTTTGAGAGGGGGTCTTACTAAGGGAGGGAGAGGTTAAGGCAGAGTGTGTAGCCACTCTTTCAACAAGAGGGTAATTTTTAGTCTGCAGACTAAGACTTCATCACCTTACTCCAGAACACTGATCTCTAAAACATTACCTAAATTGCAAGACAATTCCTGTTAGTCTGCCCACCACTTCAGACCCTGATTAAAATAAAGATGAGAAACAGAGAAAATAGGCCTAAAACGGCGCCAAAGTTTAAAGTTTCAAGTCTTAAGTCATTTTCCTTTGTTGGCACATATTTCAATCCAGCTTGTTCTAAATTCTTTGTTTGTATGTCTTTGTTAAGACGCACGCACACACGTACGTTCCTAATCTCCTCTCTTAGGTTAAACTGTCTCTTCCCCAGGAAAAGGTTCAAAAGTTAAAAACGTTTTAAAATTCTACCTTAAAAAAAATAATAACAGCAAAACAAAATATATGATAACAGGAATACCTCTATTTGGTTTTCTGTTTCGTGGCAAAACTAAAACCACGCCAAGGATGATCAACGCGATGATGAACAGTGCGGCCAAAAGAGCGACTATCCTTTGTTTTTATGTCACTAGGATCTTTAGCTGTCTTCAGAGTTGTTGTTGACAGTCTGGGATCTACAAAAAGAGCTAAAATAAGTAATATCCACGACTGTGAGTTCAAGGTAATGAGGGGATTAATCCACGGTTATGTTAAGGACGGGTGGGGAAGCTCAGAAATTCTTTTAAAGGGCTTTTTCAAGGAACGCTGAGTTTTATGACTGAGTTTTTTTTTTTTTTTTAAGTGCACTCATAATCAGTTATTGCTATTTTAAGGGATAGATCGTTTAATAAGTTCTTCCTCACTTCTTGTTCCTTTTATTTACAAACACCCTCCTGCCTCCTGCCTCCTCCCTCCTCCCTCCTCCCTCCTCCCCCTCGCCACCCTTTTAACTCCCCTCGCCACCCTCCTAAACTCCTGCCACCCTCCTCCCCCTTGAGTGCTCTGTTTAAACTGAGCCGCTCTGCAAGGTAACTTAAGGCGGGGTATGCAGTCAGCTACACAAGGGCTTTATGGCATGTGAAATATGTTTACACACTGTCACTGCTATATACAACCTGTAAGATGACTCATCTCGTCACTTGTTTTTTGATCCACTATGAGCGCGATACTTAATCTTCACTTGAATTACTTTTAATCTTCTCGTTGGAGTGTGAACGATTGCAGCTGACGAACTTAACCAATGTTGGCTAAGTTTCCATCATCGTGAAGTTCACGTAGATTAATTATTTGACAAGCAATGTTACTTGGCATTATCCCTTTGCAATAACCGTGCGAAGCAGAGTGAGTAGCAAGTTTTATTTATTTATTTTGTTTGTTTGTTTCTTCAAGTGATCGGATCATTCCTATTAGACTTCGGAAAAAAAAAATTGTCGAATGAACACGTTCTCGACTTCCCAGCGCTCCAAAATATAAATAATTATCTTTTTCTTACTAAATTATTTAGTCCATGTGACACGATGGCCCATTTCCTTTTGTTGAGGGCCTGTTCACATCTGTGTCTACTTACTTCTCTGCGGGATTTCTGATTTGCTGTGTCACGTTTTAAACTGATTAAAGAAGTGCTTTGAAAAGGCTTCACCTAACACGTACTGATTTTCTTAGTTTCCTATAATCCTCACCGATTGCCGGCGATAACTTGTGCGAAATGCGGCCTTTTTGTTTGTTTGTTTGTTTTTTTTTAAGACAACGATTAAATTAGCCATGAAATGGAAACAAGGAACTAGGTTACGAGGTCAAGAAACGGGGAAAAAGGGTGTGTATAAAGGCCGAAAACAATGAAGGGTGTTGTTTATTTGTCACAAAGAACGATTAAAGATCTGAGTCCGTCTTGGGAAATCGTCTAAGCTATAAAGAACTTGCTAAACGGGCTGAACCATAGTGAATTTACACGGCTCGTATTCACATTCACATTTCTTTTTTTGTAACATGTTCGTTACAGATGAATAACATATTTTTTTATCATTCCACATTTGAGTGTGAAATTTCCCATGACCAAGAATCTTTGATAATTGGTTCAGGCATATCAATCGATAAATCATTGATAATCGAATTATATTGGCTACTTTACCATACATAGAAAGAGTTGGACCGATTCTTCTTAACACGAGAACTCGATACTCTTTCGCTACCGACTGCTACACATTAACGCACATCTATTTTTGGCCCAAAAATAGATGTCTTTAACTTCATCATACAGTGTTAGATGTAACAGAAAATTTGTAGTTGTGACTATCTAATTAACAAATGAACTCCACGTTATCATGCCTCTGTTTAGGAATAGATCACATGTAACGACAAAATTTGGTAGGAAACAATAAGGTGGCTTACGAGGCGCAACCGAGTGGACAGTCACACGTTTGTGCATGTTGTGAGTAAGTGGCCTGCTCTCAGGTTGTCAAATCAATGTAGCTTCATGTTTTTTTTTTCAAATAAAACTGGTTATAATCAAAAAGTGGAGTTTTCCTTTCCCTACTTTTGTTCCCTTTTAAAGGGGGTATCAGTGAGATAATGACTTTTCGACTAACGTTAAAAAGTTTGGCCATTTTACGGCTAATGGTTAACTTCCTTCCCCATATGATAAGATAAAAAATTTTTTATGGTGCAGGTTCTTTATCGACCAACGTTTAAAATTTGCAAATTTCTGCACTTAACGACTATATTTTTAGGCGGTTAAAAGATTTCTATGAAAGTTTCAATATTCATTCGCCTATTTTGCGAGGCAGCAGTTGTCTTTTTTAAGTTTTCCCTCGAAATTTTGAGCGGGAAATTGGCGCACGGCCGGCGAAAATTGATCCCCTTACGCACGCCCGACGTTTGACTGCTGTGATAGTTAAGCCGTTGTTACTGATGTTCTTTTCGTGAATAGTCAGTTTGGAAGATAAGTGGTCGCTTGAATTTCAAAGCTTAGTGACTGAAACATAAAGTAATTCATACATTTAAAACAAAGTAAAACATTGTCGGAGTAACTTTCCGTCCAGAATTTACTGACCGATAGTTGTGTCATTTTCATTAATAGGACTAATCTATCGCAAACACTCTAATCACGTTATAAAATTTCCCATTGATTAAATCAAATTGTTCATTTTTTGATCGTGTTTTGTTTTACGATACTCCATACCGCGACATTTAAAAATACAACCGTTTAAACAAGTAATACGCTGACGCTGAAGTTTAATTAACGTCAACAGACCTTAGGAATATATATTTTAAATATAAAAAGGAAAAAGAAGTTAAGGATATTTTCAAAGTTTTATACTTTACCAGATGATTATAATGTCTTAAATTCGTTTGATTTAAAGAATTTAAAGATTTTCCTTCAGTACACCCGAGCGCAGTACGCTGATTTCCAACTAATCGCTAAAAAAAACCTATCTCTTGTAAGTAACACTGTGTTTTTTTTTCCGTTTCTTATGTGCCTTAAAGTAAATCATCCTAAGTATCTTGTTACAGAAGATTACATATAGTTACAATATTTTACCCTTGTAAAAATTGGTAGTTAAACTAATCCTAAAGGGTAACTTGTAATGGTGGTTGGGGAACATGCAAGACTCTTAAATGTATACATATATTTTCATAGTTCTCTAAAAGATAATAGAGGATGATGGACACCATCATTTTTACCAAAATAGTCAGTTATTTATAATGACAAGACAAATGATTAATGATTATTGTTTCCAAGACAATTTATCATTTTTCTTTAAGGTTTGAGTTGATTTTTATGTTCTTCATTAAATTATTTTTAGGATTGGAAACGAACAGAGTTCACTGATGTTCGCCTTTCTCTTTTTCCTCCAGATTCTGCTGAGATATCATCACGCATGCTGTCTTGGCATGATTGATTTGGGCGTACACGGTTTGGGACTGTTCTTTGACGAGCTTTGCGCTACTTTCTCGGGAATGGACCATATCTGCGTACACAAGACCACGGTATGGAGAGGGCTTCTAGATCATAAAAGTGAATGATATCGTATAGGCAATTCGTAAAACCAGTGACACCGAATAACATTAGCAACATAGTAGCTAATGAGGAAAAATGACACGAATATGATAAGCTGACAAGATTAGTGTTGTCTTTTTGCTTTGATTTGTTTTTGGTTTATTTTTGTTCGTTTGTCTGTTAGTTTTGATATACCTGTGCAGTTTTTAGAAGAACCTTTAGATACTTAAAATCAAGTCCATCTGCCTATTTCAGCTGCACGTTTCATTGTCATCGGTTTATATTTTGAATCGAAGAGATGAATGGGTCAATATTTTTTCCTTAGACTCAAAAGCATTGAAGGCTAAACAGGTCTTCATTAAAAAAACAAAACAAAAAAAAAATTGTTGTTCGGATTTGTGAAATGTATTACCTGTGGCGGTTTCTTCTTCCTTTTTGTCTTGTCAACAGCTGCGTACAAATATTCAATGTTCCCGCCAGCCTGTGGTGTTTTGCTCTCTGCAGCCTTTGCGTTGTTTCCGAGCCATGAATCAGTTGGATGCGACGAACGATCAACACAGTCGACGTAGGAGCCCCAGTTCACAGGTGACCCTCTTGTTCCTTCTTGAGGGCGGTCTGATGGTGTTTTGAGAGTGTTTGCTTTAGAACTGGCTCTGTCCTTTCGTTCTTTTTGAACAACAGCGTAAACATGATCCTTGTTTTCTTCTTTATTGTCGCACAAAGTATGTGGCTGCTGTATTCCTTTTTCACCACTCACCAACACTGTGTTTTCCCGTGCTCTTTCTTGAGTATCTGAATATCCCTCTCTTACTGACCTTGACTTTCGATTAGTCTCATCTATGTTATCCCACTCGCACTCCTTTTTGCAGTCGCTTACTGTCTCGTAGGTGGCCGGCACAGATTCCGTTTGTGAAAGGGTTAAGTGTACAGTAAGCTCGGCAGAGCTCTGCATTTGTTGAATAAGCACAGGATCGATCGATTGCAGTTCGGAACTCAGGGGCACCTCATAGGTGCAAGTGACCCGATCGTGAGCGTGATCTGAAGGTGATCTGTAAGGCAAAATGATATTCTCTCTCACTTAGCGGGACTGGAATATATTAGGATATATTCATAAAGCTCACATTTTGCACTTTTGTTTTAGGGTAGCGTGGTATTCTGCCCTCGATTTTAATAGAAAAGTAACACTGTTTAGGATGTAAGTCACATGTATACTTAAAAGCAAATATGATGCACCAAATAAAAATAGAACTCAAATTTTCCATTGAGGAAAGGTTATAACGGTTCGTCAGAAATGAGGTCTAGATGGTAAAAAAATCTATTGTCTAGACAATAAGAATAATTCTTATTATCATTTGATATGTACCAAAAAAAGCCTGGTGGGTACATTTGAACAGTTTTTGCTCTGTGTCATTTTAATATTAATTTTTATAATCCAAAGCACCTTAAACTCAAAGCTAAATCGGAAATGCTCTCTCGTCATTTAAAATTATTTTCGTGGACACTAAGTTTCCCCAGAAAAAAATTATTTAAAAACTCTATGGCTTTCTATGTTGAAAATCTGGAAAAAAATTTTGATGAGTTCATTAAAAAAAAAAAATGCAGTTAACGGAGTTCTAAAGATTAGCGTATACTACTGTATACTACTTGCCGTATTGTTGTTTTCATGATAAAACACATCAGCATCGTCGTTGCCGATCGAAAAAAAAGGGAAGAAAGTACATGTTAATAGAACGCGAAGATAGGATATAAACAACCCTCCGATGTGCAATAAACAGACCCCTCCCCTCCAAAATAATTATAACAAGGAGGGGACAGGATCTTATTTCCAGTTGGGAGTAAGGTATTTTGTTCCCCCCTTGATACTTTTATCACGTTCTCAGGAAGAGTTTGCCAAATATGTTGATTATTTATTCAAATTTTTACCATATTCACTAAAATTGATTAGAAAACCGGAGGTATTCAAAGAGCTCGGTTATTCCCTGCGTGCACACAGGGAATCAAAAACTTGAAAAAATTTGGGAAACTCCTCTACGTTTTCGGTCTTCAAAACAGCCAAAAGCACCATAAAATGCTTGTGGAAGAATTCGCCTTAAACACAAAGGATCAAGGCACAGTAAAAGTAACATTTGAAGAAAACTGGAAAAAGACCATCTAATGTAATGATGTAGTCTCAGAGAGGAGGGGCTATTAAGCCAAATTTTTTTGGTCCCACAAACCTGAGAAAATGCGAGACAACGGCACATTCTATTTTTCCATTTTTGAAAACTGAAATCTGAAGGGGGGGAGGTATAAGGGTATAAATAATGAACGAGTGTAATAAGGATGCATTCCTTTATAAAAAAAAAAGGAAGCCATTGGATGGAAGAACTAGCCTTGTAAAGAACCTTAAGGCTTCACATCACCTCAGAAGTGTACTATACCAGACAAGGGAATGACTTCCACCTCGTACTTCAATATTTCGAACATCATATCATTATATTAAAAAAATTATAATAAATAAAAAATAATTAAAAAAAAAAAAAGATTTCGTAAATGATGCAAGAAACTTGCCTTGGTTCTTATGACTTTGGCGTCGCCGATAAAACAATATTCCGAATACGACTGCAATGACCACGATAAAAATGACCAGAAGCACTATGACGATCAACACCAAGTTTAACTCGCCAGTTGAAACGTTTTGCGATGACGATTCACTAAAGGTATTCTCAAACGTAGTCCCTGAACAAGAAAAACAATATTGATCTTATTGGTTTTCTGAAAAACGAAAGCTGATTGAACTGAAAACGAAAAAAGGATAGATCAAGTTAAGTTAATAACCTAGCGAAATAGAATGTTGCTTTTCACAAACTGTGATCGATCATTGGAATATTAAAGGTTCAAATTTTCTATAAACTCACAAGTTACATTTCTACTCTTCTCTGCCCGAAACATTTTTATGAAGATCTTCACCTTTGTTACTTTCGTCATTTTCTAAAATCGATCTCCTCCGTTTCCCTGGTCAACTCGTGGAATAATTTATTAGACTGAGCATAGGGGTACATTTTATACTGTCATACTAAAATTTATTGCCGGTTTATAACAAAGGTTTGGGAAATACGGAGATGTCGTTCGTGATAACATTATTTTGGTGTTATGTAAAGTGAGCAATGTAAGATTTTACTCCCCATAAGTGCATGCTGTAAATTGGTACATTCGAAATGAGGAAATGAAACTCTATGGCAATCAAATATAAAATTATGAATAAAAACAACTTGAAGTGTAAAGACGTTTATAATACAGACAGACGACGTTGATATAGTTACATTGCACCTTGTGTTGGGAGATTAAATTTGGGTCGGTTTTGCAGTGTAAAAATTGTTGCATTTGTCGGTTGGGTGTAGAGTTTTTCCACCTTTGTTCTTGATTCTCTAAAACGAGTAGTTTCCGGTGTTTGTGGCCATCGAGTTGACTTTGACGCAAAGCAATAGAGAAAATATAGAAATAGAAATCGTCACATTCAAAACTACCCACGAACCTATCAAATACCTCAATTTATATGCTCACAAAACATCAAAAAAATCGAACCCTAATTGTTTCATTTCATCTTTTCTAGCTTAAGACTTTGGAAATCTAACTAAAATTTCCATGGACTAAGAAATGCATAAAAGTAGAAGCCTTCACACGTTTGTAATATAGACGTAGACGACATTGATATAGTGACATTGTACCTTTTGTTGAGAGATTGAATGTGGGTCGGTTTTGCAATGTTGAAGGTCTTGCATTTGTTGGTTGGGTGTAGACTTTTTCCACCTTTGTTGTTGATTCTTTAAAACGAGTAGTCTCCGGTGTTTGTGGCCTCCGAGTTGACCCTGACTCAAAGCATTAGAGAAAATTAAACGTAGAAATCATTACATTCAGAACTACCCACGAACCTATTAAATACCTCAGTTTATTTCATTTCTATGCTCAAAAAATACCAATAAATCGAAACCTAATTGTCTCATCTTATCTTTTTTACCTAACACTTTACGAATTGACTATCCCAATGTTGTCTTTTTTTTCAAGGTGGTATACACGAAAATGATCTTAGGCTCTGTTAATTGATGAAATAGATTTTCAGGTGATAAATTAAACTATTTTAATGTTTACATTATTCAGTAGTATTTAACCCACTTCTACGCCAGACGTGAAAGTTACATAGTCCTAAAAAGTGAATTCTTTTATTCTCTAGTGTCGCTGCATATTTCCGCCACTAGACTTCCAGTATAATCGATTACGTCAAAGCGGCTATACGCGCGTCGCTATTTGATTGATTATTCGCCCCTAGTATCTCTGCTAAAGAAAGAAACGAAATCATTTTCAAGTTTCTAATAACGAATCCGTTTCATCATTCCAAAGATTGTTAACTGATGCTTATAAGTACTTAGCCAAGGGGAACAATGCACGAAAAGGCTAGAAGAGTGTTCTTACACGAAGATAGTCATTCGTTGTATTTTTTGGTTTTGGTGTCTTTGGATTACCTGACACTTATGTAACCCGTGTTTTAGAGAAACAAAAGGTAACTCTGCCTTCTTTGTTACGCAACACCGATAGGAGATTCTCAAAAGAAACTAAGATGTGGTTTTTCAGTTAAAGCCAAAAAAAAAATCCCGCATTTCCCCTCAGTCAGGACGATATATCTACTTGAATTTCTCTTTTTTATTAACAAATTTGAAAACGTTAAGCAAAAAGATTGCTTTTGATAACAAGTCCCTTGAGCTTTATCTTGAGGTTTGACTGGATAGTAGTCCTTGTGGTTTCGGGATTTTAATCTAATAGGAGAATGGTAGCTGGCCCTACCATGTATTTTCTTCTTCTTCTTCTTCTTCTTCTTCTTCTTCTTCTTCTTCTTCTTATTATTATTATTATTATTATTTATTTATTCTTTTTTCATGATCATCCTAAAGCATTTGTTTGAGTTTCTTAAGGTTGAGTCGCTGACAACAGGGTAGTTCGAAAACCATTTATTCTCCTTTTGTTTGGGTCACGTGACTCTACGCATGAAGTCATCGAGCATTAGTCTAATGAAATAGTATAGTGAGGTCCAAATGAGGCTCTTGGCAGAGCAAACGAATTTGGCAAATGTGTTGTTAAACTTGTGGCCATCAAATTCAAAAGGTGAAATCATACATTTGTGAGTCTCATTTTTCTGTTACTACTGCGATAAGTTGAGCCGTTATGACGGCGCATTTAATGATTCTGCTTGGGCTGCAATGGGGATGAAATCAGGCGAGCGGAATCTTCCCAACTCGAATGAGGTATAGCATGTTCAAATTATGATTATCAAAGTTAGAACGTATTCAGAATAGCTTAATCGTATCACAGCGTTGTGTATTTACAATCGTCATACTGTCAGCTTTGTGGATTGTTGAACCAACCTTCTCTAACGGTACATTCAGTGCACCTCTCACATATGTATCCTGCTTGTTTCAATTCTGAGCCACAGCTTACATCATTATACCGACCAGAGCCTCTGTACGTCTTGTACAGTTGTGCGCAGTCCTCCTTGTCACTGTTGCTAGGCTCACTTCGCGCCCAAGGCCACGCTCCCTTGCTTGACGCATTTACTGTGCTATTATCACTTATCCATCTCCACTCTCCGGACGATATATCCTTCTTCAGCCCAATGAAGTATTCCCCTGTTTTATATGTCTGGATAGTTCGATTCAAATAGCTCCATTCCCCAAAACTTTCAATGGAAACAAGGTCATATCCAGCCTTCTTGCACAGGTCTCTGCTATCTGACCAGGAGTAAGGATTCTTCGAATTGTTCCGGTGGAATGTGTAACTAGAGCCATTGTACACATGTGTGCAATTACTGCTGTCGTCTGCATGTAGATAAAAATGACAAAAAAATGCCTTTACCTTCCCAAGTTTATTCTAAACAAAGTGCTAAGCAAAAAGAAGACACCTATATTTCGTCTAGCTTTTTTAACCTTCGGTTGAAATTTCCGCCCTTACATATTCATTTTCCCCATCTTAGCATCCATTTGTGACAATTTGTATGTTACTTCGCGTTCGAAAGAAATGCGAAAACAAATGATAAGCCATAAGCAGGAAAAGGAAAAGTTTGAGTGTATAAATGACATACACCCATGTATCCGAATCGTTTCATTTATTTCCTTGTATATATACAAAATGTCAACAAATTCTGGACAAATTTCCACGTTACCCGAAAAAAATAGAATATCCTGGTCTGTTTAATGGAAAGGGGATCAGATAGAAACGATTAAGAATTGAAACACGTAACGTCAAGCTTCAACCATAAAGATTGTCCTAACCTATGTAGTCCTTGATCGTGTGCTTGTTTCGAATTAGAACAGAGATGATTGGAAATAAGCAAGGTTTTTTCATTCTAGCAGACAAATCTTTCTCCTGGCATGTTCAAATATCACTGACAAATTTTTTAGCGAATCGCTTCAGTAATACGCGTATGGCAGATATCTTCGTCTAAGTTGCACTCAGGCGTGGTCTTCATCTCAAAAAGGAAAGAAACATATGCGTGTATTTTGCGGTTAACCAAACATAGCGGAGCGCAATATTTCTTTGACTGAGTAAATTTGTCACGGTCCACGCTTGTCACCCGTTAAATCTCACTCGCATGGTGTAGTTCATTCGGCCTTTCTCAATTCAGGTCCAAACTGGCACGTACGTCGGAGCAATTTGCGATTACATTCGTATCATATAAATACTTAAATAAAGCGTGTAGAGCGCATTTTGATCCATTTCGAAAGAACTGATAGCTTCATTCCAGTGAAGGTATTGATCTTTCAAAAATGATATTGCCTGTTTTTCTCTCATGAAATCTCGTACTTAAATCCCCCGAACAGTCTCCACCGTAACGAGAAATGTTAAGAGAAGTCCCCGGCAGAAAATTAAGACATGATTCAAACTGTACTTAAAGAAAATTACTATGCTGCTGGTACTCTTAAGGTAGTTCAGGAAAAAAAGAAATAAAAGAAATCAAATTGTCTTTTTGTAGAATGAATCATCAGCTGATATTAGATTTTCTCCCAATGCTTTTTATTTTGAGGAAAACTGATCCAAAAATTATTATGATAATTATTGTCATATGAACAGATATCTGTCCTTCACAGACAAGGAACACAAGCCTTTCAGATTAAATTACCACGTGACGATTTCTAACACCTTTCAAAACGAATTGCCATGAAACTGAACGGGATGCCAAAATTAATAGTCGCTGCCAGGGCGTCCAAGTGTAAAATGGTCGAAGAATGGTCCCGCCCCCAAACGCTCTATATATTGAATCTTTCTTTTAATCGTGGTAAAGAAAGAATTTGTTTTTGGCCCTTCGAGCCATTGCATGTTCAAAAATGTCCATTAAAACGCTCAAAACATGGCTTCTAATTTGTTTTATTCTTCTAGATTCAAACTCCACTCAATAGGTGAGTTTAATGTCTTTTGCATGTTTTAGAGCTTGATTTATAGCAATAGATCTTCTAAGCACCGGATCATCGCATCAAACTGTAATCGCGTGTTTTGCTAAATCTGTGTAGTTAAAAGATTGACGCCCCGGTTTTTCTTGGTTTTCACATAGGAAATCGCTCCAACATAGATAAAATGTAAGAAGCTCTTACTGCGATGGCATTTAACCAATTACTCTGAGAATTTGTACACATATTTTTACATCCTTGGTTAGTGTCCGACGCAAGTATCAGTCAATTTGATAGACGGCTTGTCAATCAACAGAGGCAAATGACCGACTGTGTTTTAAGACTTTTTGATTCATCCAAATATTTGACAACTTTGAGGTCAAATATCTCCCCTTGCCGGAAAGCTACAATACTTATCTTGATTCCCTTTTATAATCCATGATTTCATCTCTGTAAAGCATCAAAAAAGTCTTTGGGCACTAATGTCTTTTTGTCTTGGATGCCTTTTAATCTATGACTGTGACAAGTTTCTCTTAACTACACCTGTCACCCAATTCTGGCTCTAAGCGGTCACGTGACCAAATAAACCTACATTTTTTAGCTCTTTATACGAGATGATTGATCGGGAAAGCTAAAAAATGTGAAAAATTTCCAAAATTTTTTGTAAGAATGGAAAATTTCACGTCTAGAGAGATGGCTGTGGTCGAAAAATCGATGGGATAATCGTACTGTTTCTTTCTTTTGTCGTTTATTGCTTTGAAGATTTGCTAAAATCAGGAAATAGGGCTCTTGTACAGAACAAAACATTCATTAGTCTATAATTTGATTGTCTGTTATTGTATTGTCATGTTCAAGTTCTCGTATGTAACAACTTCGGCTTTTCCAGACCGCGGATGACGGGAAACTCTGCCCCCTTATTTGGAAGCAAATATCAATAGCCCTATAAAATTCATTGACTGCGCCATGTTTCCAGAAAATAAGACTGGAAAATGTTTTTTCCACTTTCCACCATCAAGAAATTCCACGTAGAAATAGTATTTGTAGCGTGACTGCGTGACCTTTCATGATAAGTAAAAATTTGTTTATCTTTTTTTTTTCATGAAAACACTTAAAGAAAGTTCTTAATCCTTTTGTTACTTTATTTGCCTGTTTTTTGACCGCAAATATTATCTGCATTTGCTTTATTTTCGCTGACTGTTGTGGCCTTAACTTTCTTGCGTGCACGTGCGAGCCATTTCATATACAGCACTCTTTCGAGTTTCTTTGCGTGGTGTCGGGCTTAGGTGAGTAGGTCTGGTTAAAAAGATATATGCACGCTGCAACATGGGTTCTTATGTTTTCTCATTTTTCTTTATCTGTATTTTTATTCTTTCTATCGGGCTTAGATGTGTAGGTATGGCTCAAAAGGTATCTGCACGGTGCAACACGTTGACCCCCCCCCCCCCCCCCCCCCCCCCATTAAATTTACTAGGAAAAATGAACTCACAAACTCCTTGTTGAAAAAATTGAAATTCATTTGACCAATACGTCGGTTATTTCAATTTTGCTTTTTCCTCGGGCTGTAAACTGACTAATGAATAAAATATTTGTAAATACCGTTCAGAATTTGTCCTTTTTTTTTCTGCGTGTAAACCGAGGGTAGACAAAGTTTGTAAAACATTTGACAAGAATTTCATGGGGCTCACCTCAATGATTTTCGTCGGCCAGAGTCAAGAAACGCCAAACGACATCGCTCTCCAGTGAAATTAAAATAATCAAAGCTCAATGATGTACCTAAGTAGGTACTAACGATATCAAACCATCGATTATGACAGGGTGAGCTTAATTTTTCGGTCGGGGTCGACGTGACCTCACATTAAAAGCGTTTTTGACGGAACAAATTAGGGTGCGTTCCTTTTGGGAGGATCCTGATTAGGATTTGTGATCCAAGATCACACAGATCACGGTGCTGAAAAGGAATGGAGTTTTAGAAGAGCTCTCAGAGAATTCCAAAAAGTGCGTTGTTTTAAGACTTGTGTATGCACGTGGGTTATTGAGCTCTTCCCTTCATGGCTCGTCTAACTGCACGGGCTTTTAGCGCGCACAATTTTTCTAATTAGCGCCATTCATTAGAAGCACATTTTTTCATAGCAAACTCAAACGATGGAATTAAAGCAGAAGCAAGTATTGATTACGATATGGATACTTGGGAACCCTGAATGCCTGCGATCAGTGGTCGATCGATTATACATTACAAAATTGATTTTATTTTGTGTTTATCGAAAAATTTGTGAAGCGATTGCCAACAGTCTTTCCGGTCAATATTTGACGTACCTACTTGTTTACAATTGAGCACCGCTGGGCAAAATGATTAATTTCGGATCCTTCGCCCAAAGGAACGCTTTGGATCAATGATCCAATGATCCGTCTTTAGATCACGCAGATCAGTCATCCGATGAATCCATGTCCAGAGTGGATTTGATACTGATCTGGAAATGGATTTGCTCGAAAAGAACGCCACAGATCAGAAATCCTGATCCGGATTCTCGCAAAGGAACGCACCCTTAATGAGCATCACTGCACGAACTGAGAAGGCAAAAACTTGTATCTATCTCTCACGCTTTTCGTCTGACAATGGTAGATTTCATCAAGGAGTTTTACAAGTAGGGTAAATAAGCTTGCTTATAACCAAATAGTAAATAATTTATCTCTTTACTATTGAATCTAGTGGAAAGAATTCGCTAGGTGCACCAACTTTGCAGTACTGCGTGACATTTTTCGGACGTTACATGTACGAGTACGTGATCCGCTTGAGGGTCACAGATTTAGTGTAAATATTTGACCCCACAACACATTACGTTCTCGTCCACGCAATGCCTCTAGTCTATAGAGGACTTAGAACGCTTCATTGCATGGATTTGCCTCCTGCGGCTAGGAGGCTAAGAGCGAATTTCTCGGGCGTAATTGCTTTTGATTTCAAAATTGATGTTGTCGTAAACACAGTTTAGGGAGTCACGAAACACAAAAAAACTCATCGGGACCTAGTTTCATTTTTAATGGAAATAAATATACATAAAAATACATTCTCTTCAGACATAAAGTTATAGATAACAGGGATTCTTTGAAACAAATAGTTTTAGAAAAGGTTTCAGTTCTGGTCAATATTCACTTTTCAGAACCTACTTCCAAATCTGTGGGAACGCGTTGAGGGAATTAAAAAAATACATACCTTTGTGATAACGCAAGAAAGGGAATAAAAATGCAAACAAATAAAAAGGAGAAAACATAGGAACCCGGGTTGCAGCGTGCAGATATCTTTTGAGCCAGACCTACACGCTTAAGCCCGACACCACGCAAAGAAACTTGAAAGAGTGCTGTATACCAACTGGCTCACACGTGCACGCAGGAAAGGCCATGATAATCAGCGAAAATAATAGCAAATACAGACGATATTTGCAGTCAAAAAATAGGCAAATAAAGTAACAGAAGGATTAAGAACTTTCCAGATGTGTTTTCGTGAAAAAAACTATTATATACTGTATTTTTCCACTTCCCACCATCAAGAAATTCCACGCTGAAATAATATTTATGGCGTGACTGCGTGACCTTTCACGAGAAGTAAACATTGTATATCTTATAGATATACAATGTTTACTTCTCGTGAAAGGTCATGCAGTCACGCCATAAATATTATTTCAGCGTGGAATTTCTTGATGGTGGGAAGTGGAAAAATATTGTCCAGTCTTATTATCTGGAAACATGGCGCAGTTAATGAATTTTATAGGGCTATTGATATTTCCTTTCAAATGAGGAGGGCAGAGTTTCCCATCATCCGCGGTCTGCAAAAGCCGAAGTCGTTACACACGGGAACTTGTACATCAACAAGCACGCGACATGTGACTTTAAAATCTCCTCTTCTGTTACGGTTTCCCTATTATGAACTGTGCGATACTGATAATAATAACGATAATAAACGATCAAATTATAGACTAATGAATGTTTTGTTCTGTAAAAGAGCCCTATTTCCTGATTTTAGCAAATCTTGAAAGTAATAAACGACAGAAGAAAGAAACGCTACGATTTTCCCATCGATTTTTCGCCTACA